ACGGGCCCAGACAGCGCCTGGTACACGGCTACCGCCATCAACAAGGCGGGCCGAGACACCACGCGCTGCAGGGTCAACGTGGAGCTGGACTACGTAGAGCCTGAGCCAGAGAGGAAGCTGATTATTCCCAAAGGAACATACAAAGCCAAAGAGATCGCCCCTCCCGAGTTGGAGCCCCTCCACATGAGGTATGGCCAGGAGCAGTGGGAGGAGGGAGACCTTTACGACAAGGAGAAGCAGCAGAAGCCGCTGTTCAAGAAGAAGCTGACCTCTGTGCGCATGAAGCGCTTCGGCCCGACCCACTTTGAGTGCAGACTGACCCCCATCGGAGACCCCACCATGGTGGTGGAGTGGCTCCACGACGGCAAACCTCTGGCTGCTGCCAACCGGCTGAGGATGGTGAACGAGTTCGGCTACTGCAGCCTGGACTACGAAGTGGCCTACGCCCGGGACAGTGGCGTCATCACCTGCAGAGCCTCCAACAACTTTGGGGTGGACCAGACCTCGGCCACGCTCATCGTCAAGGACGAGAAGGGCCTGGTGGAGGAGTCCCAGCTCCCTGAGGGCCGCAGGGGGGCGCACCGGATGGACGAGATCGAGCGCATCGCCCACGAGGGCGGACCCGCCGGAGTCACGGCTGACGAAGACTCAGAGAAGACCAAACCTGAGATCGTCCTCCTGCCCGAACCAGTCAACGTTATGGAGGGAGACATCGCCCGATTCCGCTGCAGAGTGACCGGATATCCGGCTCCAAAGGTCAACTGGTACCTCAACGGGCAGCTCATCCGAAAGAGCAAGAGATACAGACTCCGGTACGATGGCATCTACTACCTGGAGATCACAGACATCAAGTCCTACGATTCCGGCGAGGTCAGGGTGGTGGCGGACAATAATCTGGGTTCAGCTGAGCACACTGTGAAGCTGGAGATCCAACAGAAAGAAGACTTCAGAACTCATCTGCGCCGAGCACCTGAAGCTAAGGCTGCCGAGGCTGCACATGACTCTGGAAAAACTCAGTTTGAGGTGGTGAAGGCTGAGAAATCCACAGAGGAGTCTCAGGTCAAGGAGGTGGTAAAGCTTAAAAAGGCCCAGAGGATCGTTCACGAGAAATCCACTGAAGAATCGGCGGAACTGAGGACCAAATTCAAGCGCCGGACGGAGGAAGGCTACTATGAGTCCATCACTGCTGTGGAGCTGAAGTCTCGTAAGAGGGACGACTCCTACGAGGACCTGCTGAAGAAGACCAAGGAGGAGCTGCTTCACCATGCCAAGATGAAGGAGGAGGCCGAGAGAAAGAAAGAGGAGGAGAGGCAGAAAGTCACTGCAAAATCTCTAAAACCAGAGAGGGTTAAGCTGTCCGCAAGCATGGAAGCTCCAAAGATCCTGGAGCGCATCACCAGCCAGACCGTCTCACCGATGGACGAGGTCCGGTTCAGGTGCAGGGTGGTCGGCCGGCCAGATCCCGAGTGCCTGTGGTTCAAGAACGGCGTTCAGCTGGAGAAGACGGAGCGCGTCTACTGGTACTGGCCGGAGGACCACGTGTGTGAGCTGGTGATCAGAGACGTGACGGCCGAGGACTCGGCCAGCATCATGGTGAAAGCCACCAACACTGCCGGAGAGACTTCCAGCCACACTTTCCTGCTGGTGCAAGGTAGCACAGTTCTGGACTCCCTAAATCTGGCCGGGTTTGAATTGTCCATTGTCTAAACAATTATTTTCTTGCTTCTTTTGCAGCCAAGCAAGTCATCACCTTCACACAGAAGCTGGAGGACGTTAAAGCCAATGAGAAGGACACCATGGCTACCTTTGAGTGTGAAACCAACGAGCCTTTCGTTAAGGTCAAATGGATGAAGAACAACTCTGAGATCTTTTCAGGAGACAAATACAGGATGCACTCTGACAGGAAGGTCCACTTCCTGTCCGTGCTGGTGATTAGCATGAAGGACGACGCAGAGTACTCCTGCGTTTCTGTGGAGGACGAGGACGTCAGGACATCTGCCAAGCTCAGTGTTGAAGGTAGGTCAGCTCGATAAGGTTCCTATTTATGTGTCTGAGCCATTCCTGACCCTGGGCCTCCTCTTCCTGTGTGCAGGAGCCCCACTGGAGATCCTGAAGCAGCTCGAGAACGCCGAGGTGCCGGAGACATATTCTGGAGAGTTTGAGTGTGTGGTATCTCGTGAGGATGCAGAAGGCAGCTGGTTCTTTGGAGAAAAGCTGCTCTCCCCCAGCAGTAAATACGTAATGTCCTCCCGCCGTGGACGGCACTCTCTGTCTGTGAAAGATGTCAAGAAGGAGGACCAGGGGAAATATTCCTTCACAGTGGGCGAATTCAAGTCAACTGCTTCACTGAAGATGAAGCGTAAGTTCCAAAAACTCTTTGGGTGGGGGGTCTTTGATTGCTCAGCTTAGCTGTGAAATATGTCGCTGTAACTGATTTTCACCAAAATCTTCCAGAGAATGCGACGCCTACAGAGAGCTGATATGGATCTTTGTTTGAGCTTCCATCTTTTGACACTTGTCTTCATGTCTTAGTGCGACCTTTGACCCTGATGCAGCCTTTGACCGACCAGACGGTCTGTGAGGGGGATATCGCTCAGCTGGAGGTCAAGTTCTCCCAGGAGAACGTTGAAGGAACCTGGATGAAGAACGGAAAACCAATCGAAGCATCTGACCGTGTGCACGTTGTGATTGACAAGCAAATTTACAAACTTCTGATTGAAGATACGCACAAGGATGACTTCGGAACGTACTCTTTTGTGGTTCCTGCGCATGAGATCTCAACCTCTGCCAAGCTGGTCATCCAGAGTAGGTCACATGAAGGCATCTCTTCTGAAGACATGCTCATGCTAACTGAGAGGTCTCACACACAATGTTTTGTTTTATGTTGCAGCTATCGGGATTCTGATCCCACTGAAGGACACCACGGCCGTTGAAGGCACCAAGGCTGTTCTAGAAGCCAAGATCTCTGCTCAGGACGTCAGTTCTGTAAAATGGTACCACAACGAGAAGCTGCTGATGCCCAGCGAGCGAATCAACATGGTGGCAAAGGGCGCCAAGCAGCGCCTGGTCTTCACCAGGACGTGTGCTTCCGATGAAGGGCAGTACAAACTGGTGGTTGGCCGAGTTGACACCAGCTGCAGATTTACTGTCCAGCGTAAGTTATATGAAGACATTTTTAGGCACGCATTGGCAGCCGAGGATGGTTGTGGGGTAGCAGCGATCAATGTGCTTTAATCTGCTGATATTTGGCTCATGGGTTCATTCCATTAAGTTAAAATATCCCAAATAAATCATGGTCTTCTACCAATTGGGACTTGCTTCAGTGTCAAGGTCAGGGATTGATCCCGGGCCTCCCAGGTGGCAGGCAGGAAGCAATCTCCTGACCCACGGAGGCCTAGATTGAGACTCAAGCGCAGGCAAGGGTGAACGAGGAAAAGAGTTTATTTCCCAAAAATAATCAAACGCTCAGAAGTTTCCAGAAAAAGGTAAAAGGTCCAGAACACAGGTACTTAGATTCCAAAAACAAAATACATCCAAAAGGTAAGTAATTCCACAAGGGCAAACAGATACAAGATCCAAAGAACAAAAACGTCTTGAGGCAAAAGAGCAAAAAAGCGCACAAGACTTACTGGGTGACCAACGAAGACTCAACAAGGAGGGCAACAGAACACAGGGTTTAAATACACTAACATAACGAGGCAATCACATGACAATAATGGGGAACAGGTGGTGGAGACAGACAACCAAAAAAGGAAGAGGGACTTTGGCGACATCAGGTAGTGAGACAAAAGGGACCCAGATTATGACATTCAGACTCTGCTCTGTTCCAATCCAACAGCTGTCCAGATTGTGAAGCCAATGAAGGACAAAGAGTGCTCGGAGTCTGAGAATGTCACGTTTGAAGTTGAGGTTTCTCACCCTGGCATTGACCCCTTCTGGACCTTCAAGAGTCAGCCGCTCAAAGCCAGTCCCAAACATAAGATCGAGTCCAAGAATAAGCACCACGTCCTGACAGTGATGAACGCCATGAAGGATGAGGAGGGCCAGTACATGTTTGCCGCTGGAGAGAAGACATGCAGCGCCACGCTCACCGTGAAAGGTTTGTCCTTTTTCTGATGTGGTTGAGCTTACCTGCCCAATTTGTGGGAAATGCATGACGGTCCCCCTCTGCCACCAGGTGGCGCCATCACAAAGCCCCTGCAGGACTTGGTGGTAGCCGACTCCCAAACGGCAGTGCTGGAGTGTAAAGTGGCCAATCCCAGTGCGGAAGGGAAGTGGTTGAAAGACGGCCAGCCAGTCGACTTCAGCGAGAACGTGCTGAGCGAGGTGAACGGTGCCGTCAGACGTCTGGTGATCCTCATCACCAAAGCCACCGACATTGGAGAATACACCTACCAGGTTGCTACCTCAAAGACCTCAGCCAACCTGAAAGTTGAGGGTAGGTCCCGGCTTTTAATACTTTCAATTTTTATGGGACACACACAAACTTGCATGATTAACCGAGTCACTTTTGTTTCCTGCTGAAGTCTCAGAGGGATCCAGTTTACTTTTCGTATGACAAACCTTAGACCCATGTTTTAGGCAGAAGCCTCTGAGAACTGCCCAGTTGACAAAAGTTGGTGGTAACACACCTTACAAAGTGCTGCTACAATAAAAAGAATAGGATCCATTTGGCCTCAGTGTGCCAGCTACCAAAATAATGAATGATCTAACAGGTTCTTAGGGCTAACCTTGAACACTGTCTGATGGAAAGCAGCCATCCATCTGAGCTATCCTGAGCTAACCAGAGACTAATGATGCTATCTGTCTGCACAGCCGTGAAGATCAAGAAGACCCTGAAGAACGTGAATGTGGTGGAGACTCAGGAGGCTGTTCTCAGCCTGGAGCTGACCCATGAGAACGTGAGGGGGGTGCAGTGGATCAAGAATGGCGTGGAGATCCAGTCCAGTGACAAATATGAAATCACCATAGAGGGCATGGTCCACACACTGAAAATCAAGAAGTGCACCACTCAGGATGAGTCCGTGTATTCATTCAAACTGGGAAAGCTGTCCGCCAGCGCCAGGCTGAATGTTGAGAGTAAGTTGGCTGTAACTTACAGGCTTCTGCTCAGCAGCTCCACCTCAGGCCGGACGCTAAAAAGCTTTGTTTAAAACTGTCTTCCCACAGCCATCAAGATCCTGAAGAAGCCCAAGGACGTCACCTCCCTGCTGGGCGCCACCGCCATCTTTGAGGTCGGCGTCTCGGAGGACGACGTCCCGGTGAAGTGGATGTTCAAGAACAAGGAGCTGAGGACAGACGAGCACTACAAGCTGCTGTCGGAGAAGAGGACCCATAAGCTCGTGGTCCAGGACGTGGACGGCAGCAAGGAGGGCGAGTACACCGCGGTCATCGGACACCTGAAGTGCAGCGCCCGCCTCACCGTCGAGGGTAAGAAGCTGAGCCAGCACAAATACAGAAATACACACATACACAAACACACGAATACACAAATACACACATACACAAACACACAAATACACAAATACACAAATACACAAATACACAAATACACAAATACA